ATTTCTAAGAAGAAGAAATTTTTCTTTGTGAACGGAATACGAATGGTAAACTACTTGTTTTTATATAAGTGATGATAAATTTTATTTTTTAAGTTATTAATTTTTTAACACAAACATCTAATTATTTGTATGATAACATATGATATATCATCTTTAGTTTTGTTCACACCATAAAATCTCTTTCCAAGAGGAGCCAAGTCACAGATGAGTATGCAATGGTTGCAGGCCGCATTCAATTAAAAATATAAAATATAGAAGGAAGAAGAAAAAGGGTTGCGAGGATTAGGTTAGACGGCATGAGCAATCGAACGTGTGAATCATACCAAAAGTTGTCACGCATGTGTGAATCACTGTTTATCATTGATGATATGTAAATTAAGTAGGACCGTATGAGCAACTGACTAACTTTAACACAACTCATAGGGCATAAGCATATTTGGCTCGTGGTTGAATGTTTGACTCATGTCAAACAAACATGAGCAACTGTTTCTGAAATTTATACATGTCTGTCTGGTTATCCATCTCTTATAAAGTATATTAGGTTAATGCATGGTCGCCTGTGTCTAGCACAAGAAATTATCTAACACACTTATTTTAATTTTAATAGTGTCACCCTCCAACAAACATTTACCACCGTTCAAAAAATATAACTATCCATCCCATAAAAAATTGTTACATGTTAAATGCTAAGGAAATTTTTTTAAAGTGAAACTCTCTGCCAACTTACAGTTTAAACATTAGGAAAATTAACGAAAAGTCCAAAAAAAACTTTAGTTTTAATGAAAAATGACAAATAATGGTCGTTAAAAGTGAACAGTATCAGAAGTGTTTTGTTAAAACTCCCTTTAACATTAGTTCTTATGTCAATATTACAAAACATTATGTAAAAAATCCATAAAAAACTCAATCTTAAAGAAAATCTCCTTAACTTTTCCCTTGTTACATATGAACAAGTGGCATAGGACAGATGCTAGTGCACACACAAACAAGTACACATCTATTTATCGTTCTTTCGCTTACGGAATGCAGTGGATGATGTGCCACAAGAATGTCAAATACTCTTGGCTTTACGTTATTGGGTTCATGCTATTTTCTTATGAGAAAGAAGTCCCCACTTGTTATGGTTGATTTACATTGACTAAATTATTCAAATTTCGCTGTAATTATTGTTCAATAACTTTATTCAGCCTGCAACGTGTATGAATAATTGAAAAGAAAAAATAAACATGTGACATTATTTGTTTTTTTAATGCGATGATTAATTTAAATTATACCCTAACTTTTGAAACAATATGAAGATAATCCACGATGAAGCTACTTTTTACCTAATGTGATATAAAAGTTTGTTTTAATTTAATTTTATGTTAGTGTGTGTTTTATCTTATTTTCCTAGACCTTTTTTTAATTGGATCCTACAACTTAATAATTAGTGAAAACAACGTTGTATATGATGACAAGTTATCTGAGAAATGCTAAAGAACTCTTTCAAAGTGGGGCTTTTTATAAACTCTCTGTCACCTCATGTTTTTTATATAATATTTTATAATGTTGGCACATAAATTGACGTCCAACTGTAAGGTAACAAAGAGTCCATGAAGAGTCTCCCTTTTGATAACGAAAAGAAACGACTAGAAATTGAAACGGTATGTAAAAGGGAAAAAAAATGTATGTGGACCATACCACTCAATATAAATACATGCAACTAATAAATTTGAAGACATTTTACAGATAATAAAATAAGAGTGTTGTTATTCTCATCCCGGTGTTATATCTCTCCATCCACTTTTTAATTACAAGTTTGTTCATTTGTAAAATAATCAATAAAAACCTTAAAAGATATATAATAATAATAATCTCTATTAATTAATGAAACCCTCTTTGTCAACCAAAAGAGGGTGAAAATACTACTTAGTCTTCTATTACACAAAAAAATGATGGGCAAAAATGTAATTTTACAGTCCAAAATTTCCTGTTTTTTATTGAAGCCTCACCTACCGGTGATGTTAAAATACCTTCAATATTAATAAAATAATAAATAAAAAAAAACCAAAAACAAAAACCTCCCACTCCCCCCATATTCTCTCTCTCCCTCTCTCCTTCTCATTTTCTAAAAAAAATGTGTTCATACACACAAAGTGTGTAGGCAAATGCTAGTAATAATAATAATAATAGGTTAAAAGGTAATAGGAGCCCCTAGACTTACATTATTGCAAAAGGAGTGGAACATATGTAAGCCGAATTTGCAAAAAAATCATAAAAGATGAAGATAGTAGAATTTTGGACCAAAATACTGTAGAAGTCATTTCTAATTAAAGAGTAAGAAGCTAGCGATTGATGATAATTGGATATTGTTAGTCATTATTAGAATGCATAATCACACAGCCAAAGAGCATTTGACAAGTCATTCATTTGTTGATTGATTTGTTTGAGAAATAGTATTTCAATTTTTTTAAACATAATAGTGGATGGGGAAATAGAATATTAGAGGTTATTTTAAAAATAATAGTTGATGACAAAATAACATTTCAAATTTTTAGCTCTTTATGGTGAGTGAGATGATAATGTGTGCGAAAAAATAGGACACTGGAGTCTTATAGCTCTCTAAAATAAAATTATGGAAAGGGATCCTCTCCGGATCCCTTTCTTTTAATTTACCAAGTTTGGAGATCCGGACCATTGAAATTTGGTCTAACAGTTGAAGTTATTATACTTTTAAAGTGAACCCCTGTTTGTAGCTATTGGATCAAATTTCAAATATTTGAAACCCCGAACTTGATGAATTAGGAGAAAGAAATCCGAAGTTGATCATTTTCCTAAAATTATAGCTTTTTTTGGTGAATTAAATGAGAGTATTTTGGTAGTTGGAATTAAATGATGACCTTGAAATGTGCAAAATGACTAGGATGACATGAAGCTCCCGCAAAACAAAACCTTGTGCACACGGCAAAACTCAGAAAACATTATAAACAAGGGAACTGGCAAGTAACAATCGTACTATTTTGACTGGACCACATTATTAAATTCTGATAAGAAAAGAAAAGAAACGACCATAAAATTAAACAATATCGCTAACAATAATTGGATTATTTAAGAAAAAATTCAAACAAATCATCACAGGTGATTCAGTGGTTGAAGATGAATTATAAACCGGTATTTCATACGACATGTCCAGGTTTGATTCCTAATGCTAATGAATCGCACGATAATAAGAGAGGCTAAAATGTTTCTGTAAGTTGCACGATGATGGCTAGGAGGAGCTGAAATGCCTTTATAAGTTGCATGATGGTAGCCAGAAAGAGGCTGAAATGCTTCTGTGAGTCTTTCCCGATCTCTGAAGGGGTAGACTGTCATGATAAAGCCACCAGCTGGTCCATTTTTCTTTTTTTTTTAAAAGAAAAAAAAATGGGTAAAGTACAAAAAAAACTACCTCAACTATTGGTGTTGCGACACTTTCATACCTCATCTTTTTAAAATGACAATGTCATACCTCATCTTACGAATTTGTGCCAATGTTATACCTCTGTCAGTTTTTCTGTTAATTTTTTTGTTAGGTGCTGACGTGGCTAGATACTGGGGCCACTCACTAATCCAACTGGATTAAAATATAATTAAATATATTTTTTTAATAATTAAAAAATAGAAAAATAAAAATAAAATTATTTTTTTATATAAAATTGTGGATCCACCCTCTCTCTCCTCTCTCTCTCGCCTTTCTTCTCTCTCTTTCTGGACACCCACCTGCATCCCCAAAACCTTCCCAGCCTTCCCACCCATCCCCCCCAACCTTCCTCCCCCACACCCTTTCTTCCCCCCGCTCCCATCTTCTCTGCGCAACCTCTCCCTCCAAAAACTCTCCCATCTAGAGCCCTTCGACCTTTCCGTCTCCCACCTTTGCTTCGCCGCTCTCCCACCCCGCCACCCCTCCCTTTCAATCACCTACCTTGCCGTCAACCACAACCTCTTATACGTCGCAGCGGGCCACGAGAAATGCCTCTAGATCTCCACTGCGTGGAGCCTGAAGATTTGGCAGGACTCGAATCTCCGCTGCGTCGAGTCGGTCAAGGCGCATGAGGATGCCGTGAATGCGTTGGTAGTGTTGAATGACGTGACGGTGTTTTGGGGATGGAGAGAAAAGAGAGAGGCGAGAGAGATGAGGAGAGAGAGAGAGGAGAGAGATTTAATATAATTTTTTTAAAATTTTTAATTATTAAAAAATATATTTAATTATATATTAATCCAGTTGGATTAGTGAGTGGTCCCCTTATCTAGCCACATCAGGACTTAACAGAAAAATTAACGGAGGTATGACATTGACACAAATTCGTAAGATGAGGTATGACATTGTCATTTTAAAAAGATAAGATATGAAAGTGTCGTGACACCAATAGCTGAGGTAGTTTTTTGTACTTTACCCAAAAAAAAATTCAAATACTTCGTGCGTACAAGTGACAAATTCCACATCTTTTTTACAACTTACTATTCTTACTTTATTTTTATAGTTTAACATAATTCATATCCTAAGTCTGCAAGTTATATTGTTAGTCCATTGTGAAGCTAAGTCCACCCGCCCACTCCTTCACTGTAGATATTACCCTTTATTCAAAATAAACAATCCGCAAGTCATATAGCTGTCAAGAAGTAATGTCTTTGAATAACAGAGGTGATAAATTATCTTTCAAGCACTCTCTAAATATTAAATTGAGAGAAGGAAGAGGGGTTTAAACTTAGGATGCAAAAAGTTAAACTGGAAGACCTTATAGATTAGGACAATCCATCACTTGCCAAATAATTTTTTCTTCTGCCAATAGTTATGAAATTCGGCCAAAAAAATATTCCTATTGTAGTTGTCTAAATGTTGTTGGTAAGGAAATGGGAAAATGGGGAGAGATTTTTAGTGTGTTTTTTAACACGATTTTCTATACTAAATGTAATAATACAATTTGTTAAAAATTAATTAATTATATCATGACATATGGGGTACCAGACGGGTTATTTTCTTGGCACACTAAACTATTTCTCTTGCTTTTCAATTTATGAAATCAATAAATAAAAAAAGGCTAAGATCTTGATTTTGATTGGTGCGAGATCTAAATACACGCTCTTTTTCCTTTTCCTTTTTCAATTCCATATGTGGGAAAGTAGGAAGGAAGCTTGCCCATTTGTTTCTTTTATGTCTAGATCGAGATCACCCCTGCCAGATTGTGCCTCCTTCCATGGCCAAATCTCACCTCAAAGAAGAAGACGAAGTTGTTACAGAAAGACCACACGCTTACAGTTTTGTCTGCTGTTACTCCTACTTCTTCACCTCCATACTTTTGTTTTCCTCACTCTCTACTTTCTCCGAGGCTTCTCGCTCCATCCCAACCACCACCACCAGGTCCACCACCCTCCTTTCTCTCTCCTTCTCTTCCTCTCTCTCCTCCACCAACCCACCGTCAACCTCCCCTTTAAAACCATCTTCCCCCGTTGACACTTCCAAAACCCTGATCACATCTCTCACAATCTCCGCCGCCGCTGCCTTCCTCATTGTTTCAGTCATGGTGGTAATTAGATGTTTCGGATTCAGATCAAAACGCAAGCAAAATCGAATCGACGTCGAGAAGGAGGACCATATTGAAGAAAGTGGGGAGTTTAGCGTGAAGAAATTGAGGTGGGATTGGATAGAGAGATCTACTGATGGCTTCTCCAAGGTGATTGGAACTGGAGGGTTCAGCAATGTGTACTTGGCGCGAAACCCGGACCCTAATTCCAGTGATGGGTTCTGTGCGATTAAGGTCCACAACGGCAGCGAGCGGCTGAGCCGGGTTTTTAAGCAAGAACTCGATATTCTCCTCCGCCTTGAGCACCGCCACATCGTCAAGCTTCTTGGCTACTCCGACAACCAAGGTCAGTCCATAAATTAAGGACATGTTCAGGATTGTGCTTAACATGGTTTTTGATAGTCAAACTTGTTTTCGACTGTACTCCATACACACACACACACACAAAGACAAAAAAATGTTTTTGAGTCATAAAAGCATTTTGTGGAGAAGCACGTATCAGATGCTCCTCATAAACCATGAATTGTATTTTCATTAAGCAGTTGGTTTTTAATAAAATTTCAACGTGTATAATAAATTACTTCGAGCAAAATTGCTCAGAAGTGAGAATGTTTTCTTAGGAAGCAATCTCAGAGTCACTTTGCTAAATGTGTAATTTATATTAAAAATCTTAGAACTTGTTTGGTATCCTATTTGAAAATTTTTATAATTTCTCAAAATATTTCTTAAGAATTTTTCTTGGAAACAATTTTCTTTAGGGCTCAAAAATTTGTTTGGTATGCGATTTAAAAATTTTAAATTTTACAACTTAAACTGAACAAAGAGATTCAAAAAGATGGGGTCGAGAGAGAAAGAGGAGAGAGGAGGAAAGAAAGTAAGAGACGATTAGAGGAAAGAGAAAGACGTGAGAGAATCGGAAGAGATAGAGAGGAAGAGGAGTGCGAGAAAGAACCGAGAGAACAAAGAGAGCGGATTGAAGGAGAGACGAAAAAGGTTAAAAAAAAAAGGGGGGGGAGAGAGAAAGAAGAAAAGAGATATATCTGTGGAGTGAGGGAGGAGGGAGAGAAAAGAAAGAAATAAGTTTCAAGTTTAAAAATTCTAAAAACTCATTTTTTGTGTTTTTAGATAATAAACTATATTTTTTAGTTAGTCTTGAGTTCAGTTTTTAAAAATAATCCTACCAAACAATTTTTTAAAGCTTAAAACTTGAAAATTATTTTTGAGTTTAAAATGTTGAATTCAAGTAGAGTATCAAACAGCCTCTTAGTAATTACTTCTTGAGAAAACTTGCTTGTTAAATAAGGATCTAGTGTATCCTCCACTCAGCAACACTTTAAACATTTTTGTGTCAGATGAGTTGTAGTAGGGTACAATTTTCTTGATATTAATTTGTGATTTATTCTTATTTTCTTTGTGGGTTCAATCCAATTTATTCAAATAATAATATTTTGTATTTTTTTATGTGAAACAGAGGAGGGTGCTCTGGTTTTCGAGTACGTCGCCAACGGAAATCTCCAAGAGAAGCTCCACGGCGGAGACGCCACCTCAGCGCTGCCATGGAAGAACCGAATGGCAATCGCCTTCCAAATCGCACAAGCATTAGAATACCTCCACGAGAAATGCGCCCTCCAAATCGTTCACAAGGACATCAAAGCCTCAAATATCTTGCTCGACGAAAATCTCAACTGCAAGCTCTGCGATTTCGGGTCGGCGAAGATGGGGTTTTCCTCGACGGTCCAACCGCCGTCGTCGATGAGAAATCACGTCTTGACGATGATGGGCTCGCCGGGTTACACGGACCCGCACTACCTCCGAACAGGAATCGCTTCGAAGAAAAACGACGTATACAGCTTCGGCGTTTTGATCTTGGAGCTCGTGACCGGAATGGAGGCATTTTGCTCCGAAAAAGGGCAGTTCTTGACGACGTTGGTGGGGCCCAGGTTGAGGTACGGCGGTTGTGACGCAGCGGAGGTGGCCGAGTTGGTGGACCCGCGGTTGGGCGCTGCGGGGTTTGACGTCGAAGAGGCCAAGACCATGCTTGGCATTTCGGCAACGTGCTTGCGTCAGTCACCGACACTGAGGCCTTCGGCTACTCAAGTATTGGAGACCATTCGGGAGAAAGTTTCGTCTGTTTCGTTTCTACAGTCAGTGTCTGATGACATGCCAAAGAAATTGTATACTAGTTGATTGCTTGATTGATCCCAGCCGTTGATTTGGACGACCTTGTTGAGTTGATTGTATAAAAAAAGATGTAAAAGAAAGCTGGTTTAATAATGATTTTGATGTAAATTTGTACTGTGTCAAAAAGTTTTAGCAACAAAGAGAAAATTACACACAAAATAATGAGTAACCCTATTCAAAAGCATCTTCATCAAAACTCCACAAATCCTCGATAACTTGTTCAATGATTCGTAATTGGAATGAAAGGAATTAAATTAGGAGAATTGAAATGAATAAAGGTTGGAAGGGGCTGGAGTCAAGTTCTTATTCTAGTTGAAGTTGTTTATTCTATTTGTTTGAAATCAGAGTAAAAATACTACTAATTTGTAGAACAAAGTGTCACTTAGGTAACCAAACTTGCATTTGTAGAACAACATTTGTAAAATCTTTTGAAGATGCTTTTAACGCACACACGTAGTAACATACTCTTTAATACATGTGAGTCTAACATACAATTGTTGGATTTACTTCTGTTCGAAAGCGTCAGCTTTGTGTGCCAAAAAAATAATTGTAATATTATATGAGCAACATTCATGTGACGTCCAGTGTGAGCAATATCCAGCCTCCACAAGATTATACACTATCTCATTATCTTTAAAGTTCACGTGTTTATATTCTCGAAAATCACTTTATAATTTGCATTTTCATTTTCCATTAAATTAAAAATCATTGTATCATAAAATTTGAATTTAAGACCACGTTATCCAGTTCGAATTTTAGGCCATGATAACTCTCAACTCATCGAATATTCAGTGACACAATTTTTCTCTATAACATAAAAGGGATTGAGATGCATGAAAACAAAAAATTGCAAGTAATTGTTTGAGCCTTAAATAACAATTTGGGTTGAGAATGGGTTAACCCAAGCTGGAAAGTTATAATCCTCAGCTCAGTAAAGATCCTTTACGCCACTGGGCTTTTAGCCCAAGAAATGGGTGATTGGATCAAGTCCTTATGTAAATAGGAGTGTGTGAGGATTCATATTAGATATGGCTCGGTTGTGTCCTAGGCAAACTGCAATTGTTAATGGTCAGAATAAAGCCATGATTAAATAAGAATTATTCCTAGGATCATAATTTATTCTTGATCAGATAAAAATGAAGTAAATACATAATGGGGTCAAGTTTAGAATCCTAGTTGGAATCAAAATGAAGTAAATTCTCGTTGAGATTAGACCGAATCAGTTCCAAATGCAGCCTACAATCACAAATCAAAAACCTAATTAGATAAGTAAAGAAAAATAATAAGAATTAAAAATTGCAATTTTTTTCTTTCTGATTTATTTTATTTATTTTTGTAATTAGGAATAAAAGTAGGAAAATAAATTAAACGAAATAAAAAGAAAAGAGTTAGAAAAAAAATTTGGTTGCCTCCCAAAAAAAGCACTTTAGTTAACGTCTAGAGCTAGACGGATCGGAAGGAAACTGGGAATCGCGTCACTTGTTCTTTCAAAGTTAACCACTCTTTAATAACATCATAGAGCACTGTGCTTCCAAATTTAATGGTTGAATTCTTCTTATACGCCCTTCTTTTTGAATGATTTTTTGTAAAGAAATAGGTTCCTTTCGAACGATGTTTATTTCTCCATTGAGTTAGACTAGGGTTCACTAATGGTCACCTCTTATTTGATGTGGTGTCGAGGAAAAATCTTTATGGAGACACTCTAGGTGTCAAAGAGGTTCAGTTTTTAAAAGCTTCGCGCTGCCACCCCTCCTGGATTTGACCTGGCAGCACTTTCGGAGGCCCATATGTCGAGCCCATTGTCTAAAAGCCCTAATCATTGTGCACTCAATTGGATGTTGCATGAAAAATGGATAAGCTTAAAACATAATAATGTTTAAATAAGATTTATTTCAAAAATAATTAGAAAATATGATCTTGACTCTTAGAATTGAATGGTAATTACGAGCGACTTAGCAGATTTTTCAATTTCAACCTAGGAGAAAAAGTGAAATATTTTCTAATGAATTTTTGAAATAAATAAATGTAAGATGTGTAATTAATAATGTCAAAATTATTTCACCCTTGTAGAAAGAAATGGTGCCAAAAATGTTGTTGCTGATTTGATTAAAGGAGAAAAGCTGGTTGGAACCAACTATGATATTTAGCATAGGAAGATCCAATATTTTCTCAATGAACAAGATCTCTTGGAACCTTTGGAGGCTTCGATGGATGAGCTTGATCTTGAGAAAGATGGAACCAATGTGCATGCGGTTAGAGTATCCTATGAATCTTGGTTCAAGAAAGAACGAAATGTGCGCTTACTATGTTAAGCAGCACGCATGATGATCTTATTGGTGAGTATGAAGGGTACTCAATCGCCAAGGAAATGTGGGACCAGTTGAAATTTTCTTTTGGTGGAACCTCAACTACTAGGCTAAGAAGTCTAGTTTTGAAGTTTTAGGTTTACAGGATGGATCCTAAGCACTCTGTACTTAAACATCTTAGGAAGATGTCCAGCATGATACGAGGTTTGAAAGCTACTGGGAGTATCCTCACCGATGAACAGCAAGTCTAAGCTGTGATTAGGTCCCTCCCAGACTCGTTGGATGCTCTTAAACAGATTATGATGCATAATGATCATGTGAAGAACTTTCATGACATGTCGCGTCATGTTGAACTAGAAGGTGAGTGCCGAGTGGTGACCCAGAGTACTGCCCTTTTGGAGTACTGCCATTTTGACTCAAGGTGGGTCCATAAATGGTAACCAATTCAAAGTAAAGGGTAAGACCAAGTTTGAGAAAAAGGATGCAAAGCTTGCTCTTAATTCTAATAAGATCAAGGCCCACAGAGGTAAACGTGGCATGAAAGACAAATCTTAGTCAATGTTCTTTAACTGTAAAAAGAATGGACACTTTGCTTGTAATTGCACTGAGCCGAATAGAAAGGTAATCCCTAATCCTAACCCTAAATCTACTTAGTCCTGTCCTTTTTAAGGGGGTGTAACAAATGAGCATTTATAGCGTAGGCAAATTGATAATCTTGCCTCAAAATTGAAAACTAATTTCTAGCCTAACAAAATTTGCCTGGTCAAATTGAAGCCTAGGCACTTTGGAAGACCAAACTAGTCCTAACCTAAGCATTGGGCAGTTGGAGCCCACTTAAAAATTTAGAATCCTAGCCTCTAACCCTTCACCACTAGAACCAAAAAAAATATTGGTAGGTAATATTATCATTTTAAAGGGCTATATTTTGCCTCTAGTCTACAGCCCTTGCCTACATCCACTACACCATCACCACTGCCAACACCACTACAACCTAAGAACCAATCACTCTTAGATGCCCATCACCATCTCCTCCTCCCCGGCCATTCATTGGCTCTGCCTCTATGAAGTCAAAAGGAGTTCAACATCTCTATATAATCAAAGCTATTCAAAAATTAGTTGCTTATATGAATGGTGGTTCCTATGACCCCTCATATTTGGTTTTCAATTCTAGGTGGGACAGTGAACAAGTTCGCGATAGAGCAAGATTCATATACTCTTCTCTGCTCGGCGTTAAAAATCGAGAAGTAAACAAGACATTGCCTTTATGAGTGTACCGCATAAAGATGTCACAATTGTAGTATCCAATTCAATCACGCACTACCATAAATTTGACTTGGGATACTAACATCGTAAAATAGAAATTGCAAGGAAGTTCATCTACGCTTAGGTTGAAGGGGGGGGGGTTGGGAAACAAAAAAAAAGCCCAAAATTTGTGTCCAATTCTTTTCCAAGAGTGTATTTTGGAGGTGGGAATTTTGGGTTTGTGGGTAGGAATTTGCGTATGCTCTCCTTCCTTAGGATGGATAAGGTAAAAAGGGAGAGGAACCCACCTGAAGACCAGCAGCAAAGGCCAACCCATGTGGGCCCAGTTAGCAGCCTAAGGTGGAGAGATTGGTTGCAGATGAGCGCATAAGCAGCAAGGTTTCTATGTCCCAGATTAGTGCGTCGTTGGCATCTAATAGTTGTTGTGCCTCCTAGGTTATGGTCTAGTGTGGTGTGTCTAGCTACATCCTTTTTAAATCCAACAACTCAAATTCAATTTAATCAATTTTAATGGTAATTTGACCAAAAAAAAAAAAAGAATTTTAATGGTAATTAAAAAAAGGCGCAAATTTAAATCCAACAATCAAAATAATGTTTTTAGTTAATACCAAAACTCCTCTAAAACTTTATAAAGACACATCCATTTGTTCACTAATCCATAAAAAAAATATAAAAAAAAAAAAACAATTTTCTCAACAATTTTTTTTTGAATTTTTTTACATCAAAATGTTCGAATTATACAAAAATTTAACAAATTATAAAGTTGGGAGTCAGAATTATAGGTCCCTTACCATTGGCGGAAAAAACTATCTAACCTTATACGTACAAGTGAATAGTTGAAAATACAAGGCTAAGTTTTGGGATTTTAGCCCCTGAGATTAGAGATAGCCTTACAAGCACCCTCAAACACATTTATAACTTGCGAGTGTTCTTCAGGTTCTTGAATTAGGAGAGCTCATTAGGACAAAGCATATTGTGAAGCAAAAAATAATCAAGAATATTATTGAGGTGACATGTGGACTTTTGGGTTAAAAGGATAAAATTACTCTCAAGGCACATTGTGATTCTCACGTGTATGCAACAGACAATAACAGCTCAATCAAAGAAGAGTCAAAGGTGATTAAAATGATATTTATTCAAATCCCTCTCGTCACTCCTCATCAAATCCGAAATTTTCTATGTAATTTAGGATTAATGGCCATGTTAAATGCAATATATTATTTCACATAATATCTTGCAATTATTCACCCAACTACACCATATATGGCCGGCCACTCCCCTATAAATAGCCATTTTATCCCACTAAAAAGCTAAGTCATTTGCTACCCTCAAACTCCAAAACACATTCTTTTCATAATTGTAACTTTGATATTGGAGATTCTTTAGCCAAAGCCCCCCATTCATCGTGGGGGCGTGAGGCTTTTGACCATAATTTTAGGTGTTATTATTTTACAGGTGCATTTTCGTCAAAAGAGAAGACGGCTGAAATTTGCATCCAAAAATTGGTGCTTTCATTGAGAGTTT